ATTCTAAAAAAATTTTAAAAATCTAAAGAAAAAGTTAAAATATTAGAAAAAATTTTAAAAATTCAGGAAAATTTTTAAAAATTTAGAAAAAAATTTAAAAATTCAGAAAATGATGTTAAAAATTACATTAGAAATGAGAAAAACAGAAAATTAAAAACTAAAAAAGGCATAACTCTGTCAAAAATGCCGTAATTTGCATTCGGAAAGCGGTGTTATGTTAGTTTTTATAAGGTTAACAAATCTGCATACTTAGTTAGAAATTGAAAATTTTATCAAATTTTGAGAATTTTAATGATGTAACCCCTTATAAAATTTTGAAAAAATTGATCAAAAATTGTTTTCTTCCGGACTTGGCCAGAAAGATGCGCCTGTTAATGCTGATCAAGAATATATATGGTTTATGGGGTCGGAAATGATTCCTTGACTTAGAAAAATATTATTTGGTATTATAAAATCTGATTTTTTATATTAAAAAACTTCTTGATTTTTTTAAAATTAAAAATATCATAACTGGGCCAAAAGAGCATTAATTTTAAATCCGAAAACTGTTCTGTGCAAGATTTTCTACAGTTAATAAATCTGCATACTTCATTTATGATATTTTTAATTTAAAAAAAATCAATAAGTTTTTTAATATAAAAAATCAGATTTTATAATACAAAATAATATTTTTCTAAGTCAAGGAATCATTTCCGACCCCATAAACCATATATATTCTTGATCAGCATTAACCGGCGAATCTTTCTAGACATGTCCGGAAGAAATCGATTTTTTGGCCATTTTTGCGAAATTTGATAAGGGGTTACATCATTAAAATGAGCAATAATGGCCAAAAATTTTGATTTCTTAAAATTTTAAATTTGGTATGCAGTGTTTTTAAATTAATAAAAACTAACACAAAACTGCTTTCCGAATCGAAATTAATGCATTTTTGGCTTAGTTATGATATTTTTTAATTGTTACCTGCAAGGGTATACAAACTTTGGCTGGCCAAAGTTAGCTTTCTTTCTTGTTTAGTTTTTTTTCTGCGGATCACAACAACAATGTGGATTATTCTTATTTTTTGTTTTTTCGACAATATTTTTGGAATTAACTAATGAACGCCATTGTAAACATCGACTGTTTGACTGCAATTGATTTTAAAATGTACATATTTGTAATTAACCTTTATTTGATTATCGCCATTCAGTGAAAATCTTAAAAAAAATTGAAGCATACTTTTGGGGATTTTAAATAAAAATGTGGCATCTTTTAGGCGGAAGTTCAATGACAAGCACTGGTGCTTGTCAAACTGTAAAAGTGAAGTTGCATTCATCCCCGCCCAAAAGTATGCCTTACTTTATATTTTAATCAAATCAAACTTAAAAATTCAGCGCAAAAGATGCCACAAAAATGACCAACTTATATTTTTAATTAATAAATTAATTTTTTTAAATGAATAAAAACTTTTTTTTTGTACTTTATTTAATAAGGCATACGGAGTGCTATTTACCCCTTTGTGACCTTTATATCTAACCATTCTGCCCTAAATCGGGCGCGCCGGCTAACCTTATCGGTTAACATTTTCAAATAAAAACTAACACAAAACTGCTTTCCGAATCGAAATTAATGCATTTTTTATGATATATTTTAATTGTTACCTGCAAGGGTATACAAACTTTGGCTGGCCAAAGTTAGCTTTCTTTCTTGTTTTTTTTTTGTATGCGGTCAAGGAAAATGAGGAAAAATTAGAAAGAGAAATGTAATTTGCTTGTTACTAGGGAAGGGGAAAGTCTTAATAATTGAAGAGGTTTAAATCTAAGAAAAAACTAAAAAATTAAAAAAAACAAGCTGAAAAAAATTGAAAAAAATATTAATAAACATTCAAAAGCCAATTAAAATTTTGTTTATAATTTCATAAAGTTTGTAGCTTGTTATATAAGAAAATAACAAACATTGTTAGAATTTTTAAAAGGGAAAACCCTTTCACAAAATGTCAATGTTTGATAATTCTTTAAAATACTTTAGGCTTTAAAATTCCTTTAATAACATAAACAAATAAATAAAATTATTAAGGGTTGTCTTGTTAACACAGTTTGGCATACCTTTAAAGAAAATTTAATTTTTTAATTCACTAAAAATATATATAATATTAAAAACTGCCCCTAAAACTTCTATAATTTAATATCTATTAGCTAATAACTAATCTTTGTTAAGCTCTGAGCAGTAGAAAATAATTATTTAGGCCACACACTGTAATTTTCCCATCTATCCATATATCACAGCCTTTGGAAATTAGCTACTAGTTAATGCAGGACACACAATTTGGTAACTCAAATTGCCATTCGCCCGCAGGCATCTCTCTCCCCAAAATGACTGTCAAACTGCATTGGGATTGGCTGCCTGCCATGGAAGTGAGCATATCCTTTATGAATCCGGTGCCGCCACCGCCTGCAGGCACTTCGAGGCCATTTGAAAGCCGAACCGCCGCTGCAAATTCAATTGTTCTTGTCGAACGTCTCGCAAATCGCAGGCCCAAGTTTGTTGACGTTGCTCCTGCTGCTGCTGCTCCTACTTCTGCTGCTGCTGCTGAAGCCAACAATTCCCTGAGGCCCCTTCCACATTTGCGGCTGGCAGCTAAATGCACCTTGGAGGCCCACTTTTGACCCGGGACACAGGACTCCCGGGGTGGAAATGTTGGGTAAACATAGGGGGAAATGCACAGAGAGAAAATTAGGAACTCCTTAAATTGGAGCTTAGTTTCTTGAAATATTTAAAACGATATTTTGGAAGCTTAATTTAATTTTAAATATATAAAGAAATCAATATTATTTTTCTTCTGATTAATTGCTGTTACATTGTTGTATATTTTTCTTCTCTTCCAATTATTCCCCCAGTGTCTGTGTCTTGTTTGCTGTTGTGGCCAAGGCTGACTTGCTGCTAATGGATTTTAAATGAGCATCATAAATAGCAGCAAGTTGTGCTGGCACACGCCGAAAAATTGCATTTGCCACGCCTGCCACAGCCATAAAAGGAGTTCTACTTTCGGGGTATACCCTGCTCCTTCACCTCCCTGCAAAACCACTTGGCTGTTGTCATTTATTCTTGTTCTGTTTGGTGTCTGTTTTGCTAGGTTTCTTCTCTTTTTTGTTTGTTTTCTTTTGGTTTTTTGGTACCCTGTACTTTTGGATTATAAAAGGAGGTTTAGTGAGGCCTTGGAAAATTTCTATATATATTTATAATACATTTTAAAAATGAATAAAGTTAAATTTTAGGTAAAAATCAAGTAACATGTATATATTTTTAGGCATTAAAAATTTAAAAAAATAAAGCTAGTTAAGTAGTTAATTTTTATACATTTAAAATAAGCTTTTTTAAATTTGGAAACATTTAAAAATAATATTTAAGTGATATTTTCACAGAGTATTCCTTAGTCAATCATCAAAATGCATTCCCCTTTCTTAGCCTTATTTTGTTTTCTATTTGTTTTTGGTTTCCATTTTTTTTTTACCAAACAGAAAAGACTATAAATATTTGTTACGCTGACGACGCCGGGGGAGAAAGGCACAGTCACACACACACACACACACACATGGCACATAGTTATAAGAGACATTTATATATAAACATATATGAGTTAGTCTTGTTGTCTGCTTTCGTGGCTACAAATCCGGCGTGTATAAAAATGACTGCAATTTATGTTTTCCTATGAATATATTTGTGGCAAGCTCAGCTCTACTGAATATATAGAATTTTTATAAATATATGTATTTTTTCTGCCTTTTATTGCTTCTAGTAGTAGTTTGTTACTTTATTTGATTGCATAAATTTTATGCAGATTCCGTAACATGTCATTGCTAGTGATTTTTATTAAATGCAGCGAACAAGCTAGCGCGTTGACAAGTAGATTGCGCATACGCCGCGTTGCCCGCCCGAAAATTTAATATCCGCTTCCAATGTGTTATGATGGTTATGTGGAGGGGAAGCATGGCAAAAGTTGCCAACTAATATGACAAGTTGATGCTCCTCTGGTCATCCTGCAGCAGACTTCAGTTGTTGTGGCCCAATAACTAACAATCAAGTGGTGGTGGTGTGTGTGCTCTCCCCTGACAGACACTTTATGTGTCCCCGTGTCATGTGCTTGGCTTTTCGGTCACGTTGATCATGCGACAACACACAACGCCATGAAATTGGCAACATATGTTCTCATACTCACACTGTTGCCAAACTTTAATTACAAAAGAAATGGCCAGAATGAAGAATGAGAATTGGAAAATAAGTTTGTCGGTATTTCTTTGCTAAATGCTCAGCGGCTTACCTCTGGCCAAGTTTTTGAGGTAAGCAAATTTATTCATTTTAAATGAAGTGAAAAAAGATTAAGCTTGGATTTTATTTGTGGTAATTGAAATATAAAGGGAATAAATGTATATTTTTGGTAAGCTGCTTTTGAATGTATTTTATTATTATTAAATGTAAGTTATTTGTAGGTTTAGATGTTTTTAAGACATGAAAATATAAAGAAAGCCTTTTTAAAAAAAAGTTTGTAATGCTTTCCTAAGTTTTCTTTATAAAACAACTTATTCAAAAATTAAATGTAAAAACCTGCTGTAAATATCTGTGCTTTATAGCCCTGCAACATTAAGGCTTCATAACCAAATTCACTTGTGTCTGCCTAGTTGGGTTTCGCTATTAATAAAAATTCTTCAGCCTCAAGTCGTAAATTGTAGATTTTGTTTTGTTTTGCTTTGACCCAGACTGACCCACCACTTCAACAACATGAGGCCAAAAACCAACTAGCCAAAAGTTTACACAGGAAAAAAATATTTTTGAGACCTTAAAATATTTCTAAAGAAATTTAAATAATTTTAAAATAGTTTTAAATATATCTAAATAGGTTCTAATTTGTTAAATATCGTTAATTAATATTCTAAATTTTTGTAAAGGTAATATTGACTTGTTTTCCCAGTGCAAACCCAAAAACCAAACCCGTGTTCATCGCCCCCAAATACTCGAATACTCACAGTTGACATTCAGGGAGACGCTGGTCTCCAGCGTGTGACCCTCGGGCATGGCACGATTCCAGACAACGCATTTGTACTTGGCGCCGTCGTCGGCCCGTCTGGGAACAATCTGTAGGGTGGCGTTGGTATAGTGGTTCTTCGATCCGCCCTTCAGCGCATACGACTGCAGTGGCACGGTGCTGCCCTCGCGGTACCAGCTGCAAAAATACATGAAAAAAATGAAGACACATAGAAGTGATAGCCACGATTTAGTGCCAAAAAAAAAAAAGTAGGGGAGAGTAGAGTGAACCATGTGCCACAGAAGGATTATTAATGAAGGCGACCGTCCGTTAAGTGATTTACTTTGCCAAGGAACCAAAGGGGAATTTTTAGTAAAATGAAGCGAGTCAAAAGAGGTCGTTAAAGGATTTTAAATTTTAACTAAATATAAATATAAATAATAGATATAGTAATACTATTACTTACGTGATCATAGGATCTGGAGAACCTCCTATACTGCCACAGGTCAACTCCAGAGGCTTCTCCTCGGTGGCCACGGCCAGATTTCCAGGCGTTACCATCGGCGGATGTGGTGCTGTGAGTACTGTTAAATTATAAAACTCCTGATGGACATCGGCACCAGTGCCCTTGGCCTTGATGCGGCACTCAAAGCGTCCATTATCCCGATTATAGGAGGTATTCTTGATTTGCAGATCGTAAATACCGCGACTCGGCCGAAAGTCCAAGCTAAAAGCGAGCAAAAATCAAAGAGAAAATAAGCAAATTGTGAACTGAGTTCTGAATAAACACTGAAAGCAATTTATTAAGAGGAAAAAACTTTTACTTTATGTAAATTAACTGCGAGCTTTTTTCTGTTGATTTACAGCAGCTGTACATACAATTATACAGAAGTATATATAAATATATATATATATTTATTTATTTCTATATTTGTTTATCTTTATATAAACGAAACGAAAGTATGTAGGTACTCAGTTTACGTTTTATTGTGGAGTTAATGCTCTGGTGGTCACGTAGGGTACAGCAAAAGGTTGTATGGTTTTTGGGGGAATATATAAGATTTATTCTATATATTTTATGTATTTAAGAAACGAGAAATAAATATATATATTGTAAGACTTTTACATATAAAATTCCTTAAATTTTGTTATACAAATAATAATTTTAAATCCTACTCTAGGAATTATCCCCAACTCTCTCCTTTTAATCTTCTAAAACAAAATCCTAGGCTAATGCTTAAGTTCTCCTATACGTAGCAGGGCATCCTGTAGTCCTGGTTTCTCTCTAGAGAGATCCTGGAAAATAAATTTCTCCTCACTTGTTTTCGTTAAGTAGCTTCCCTTCCACCATAATTTTCTGCCACTCACTTCAGCCTGCCTGTTGTGTGTTGTTCATTTTCATTTTCGTTCGCCTTCTGTTTTCCGTGTTGGGTTTTCCCTCGATTTCATTTTTGTTCTGTTTTCGTTTTTTTTTTTTTGTATTTCGTTTTGTTGTTGGGGCTTAAAAGCCATGTCCTGGCGTCCGTGGCCGGCGCGAAATAAAATGAAAAATGCTCATGGCAAATTAAGCGTCGAACTCATTTTTGTAAATTTATTAGCCCAATTCTTGTGCCGGACTCTGAGAAGCTGTAGCTGAAGCCAAAGTCTGGGGTCCTGTCTTGGGCATTACATTTTTATTAATTTAACATGGCGGGCGCTACCTTGATGATGGGCCAAAGGGGAGGTCAGGGAATGAGACTGGCACTGGGATGATGTTATTTTTGGCGGATTTCCAAATGGAAAAACTCAATCAAGCGTAATAGCTACAAAACTGTTGCATATACTTTTGCAGAGCTTTTCATTTCATTTTCATTTGGTGTTTTTTTAGTAGGTAAATACTATTAGGGGTATGCTGGATTTTTAATTTAGTTTAGATATCTTTATGATATGCAAATAACTAGATTTAGTAAAGATGAAAGATCCTAAGGCTTAAGGTTTTTCTAGATAATTTTAATCTTTAAAAAATTCTTCAACTTGTTACCCCAAGAACAAAAATAAACACAGATTATAGCAATTTTCAATTCATCAAATGAAACTCACAAAATATTCCCTTTATCGTTACATCTCATCCTTCCGCTTGTTTATAAAAAAACAAGGATAAACCTCTCTGCCTACAATATGCTCGCGTAAAACTACTCCTTCGGCAGAAGCTTCCTAGGTTTGGCTTTTGTATTTAAGTTTTAATTTCTTATGATGAGATTTTCCGCCAACCAAGAGTGGATAGGGGAGTAAGGGGCGTGGCAGAAATCAAGCACTCGACATTATTAAAGTGGGTCTTATAAACTTCTTCCTCAGCGGCTGCAATGAGATGCAAACTTCAGTCTAAAAAAAAAGAGATTAAATTAAAAAAAATTTCAATTTTGATAACTTTCCAGGAGGAGTGTGTGTGTGTGTGTAAAGAGGAATAAAAATTGGGAAAAAGGATACTAGTTACTGGTTACTGGAGAGAGGAGGCTTGCATCTGTGATTTCTTTTTGGGCTTCCACTCCTTTTTTTTTTACTTCAGTTGCCTTTGCCATTGCATTTCCGGCAGCGACTTTTACGAGGCAGCCCGTCTTGAAAGGATGCTTAAGAGCGGGTGGAAAATGCAAGGAAAATGAATGGAAACGGTAGAACAGGCAGGAGGCACAAAAAAAAAGGAGTCGTGTATGTTGGAGAGCGGCTCAAGCGAAGCACATAATTGCCTCTGCCAGGAGGCTCAGCTTGGCGATGTCCTTGCAGCCTCCAAAAGAAGGAATTTCTAATGTGGGTGTGTAAGTGCCTCCCCCAGCCTCCCAGCCTTACTTGTTCTTGTTCCCCCCCATTCTGTTATTATGTTGCATCGTCGCAGGACTTATGCAAAACAGTCGCTGAATTGTTATGCAAATTGTTGCCAACTACATGGCAATGCCTTCTTTCGCCTCAATGGGTCCATACACACACACACTGTGCGCACTTTATGCGGAAAGTATTGAACAATTACACTGACCTACATGGTTGGGAAAAGTTCAAAGTGGGAAATAATTGATCGAATTTTTGGATTTTAAAGATAAAAGTATTTAAAGATTTTAAAGAATTTAAAGAATTTTAATTGAGATATAAAGATCATAATTGTGTACTTATTTTTGCTAAGAATTAAGTTTAACTAGGAAATATTATTTTTATATTAATAGTTTTTTTTTTTTTTTTTTTTGGCATAACATTAAACAAAATTTTATTAACGTTGATCAACCAACCTAATGGCTATAAAACGTTGGTTATAAATATGAACAAAACAATAACATGGCACTTAACAGAAAATATTAATAGTTTAAGATTCCTTTATTTATTTAAATATTTAAAATCCTTTCTCTTTTTCTAAAAAATCCCCAAACCTGCATCACAGTGTGACTGACAAGGAAAAGCGAGGAAAACTCGGCTGGCCAGCTTACAAACTTTTCCCGCACTATCAATCGAGCGAAAGACAGCGGAGATGGACTGTGGGAAATGAGGGGGAAAAACCTGAGGCAAGCCACTTGGCTTGTTAACGGTAACTAAAGCTCACTTTATAGTTGGTCATGGGCGGCGTATGACAAGGGGAGGGGCAGAAGGATGGGGACTTGGGCGTGGGCTGATTATGTTATTATCGGTTTAGTATCGAAGTCTTATGGCTCGTTTTCCTCGTTACCCGGTCTCATGTCTCATGTAATTCAATTTGCCAGGACATCCTTCGTCGCCTTTTTCTTCGCTCTTCAGTCTCCACAGCCCGCCCGTCGCCTTTCTTCAGTTTCGCATGCCAAGGAGTCGTCTTGTGAAAGTAATAAACTTTTTTTTCCCCCCCGCTTTTCTCAATGAGAAAGTTGAAACACTTGGGGAAAAAATTTTGAGACTTTAAAAAGATATTTTAGAAAATTATTTTGGGGAAAAAAGGTAAGAAATATTTGAGTTATTTAAGAAATCGTTATCTAATTGTAGAATATTTTTTATGTTGATGTATTTGTCAAATTCATTAATTAAAATAAAATCAACATTTATTTCTAATTTTTTAAATTTTAAACTTGGGATATAAAGGTTTTTAATAGCTGTGAATTTTACTTTTGAAAGAAATCTAATTTTTAATGCAGAAAATCTACTGAAAAATCTTTAATAAATATTTTAAAAATAATAATTTTCTCCCAGTTCCAGCAGAAAAGGAAGCTGAAAAGAGAGAGCTACTGAGGGGGGAAGCAAAAAAAATGTAAACGCGCCAAAATTGACGCGTGGCAAGGACGATGGGTTACTACCTCCCCCCAGCCCCACCTCGACCCCCCTTTTGGCCCACTCAACGATGTGCGTTATGTGCGGATAATTGACTTTTAAAATGTGTGTGCGATATCACAACAACAGCAACAGAAACAAAAGGAGGGCGAGGGCGAGGACGAGGGGGATTAAGGAAGAAGGGTCGCGACGTATAATTAAACGGCATATTGTCACGCATCCCCGAAACTCAAAGAGGGGGGCGGCCAAGTGAGAGGGAAAGTGGGTAAGAAAGTGCGGGAGAAAGTGATAGGGAGCAGCAAGGACCCTTTTCTCCCCCATTGTTGTGACCATTAAATATTGTTCGGTGCTTACTGTTTCGCTTTCTTCCCTTTGTTTGGACTTACACTGCCTTCCGCTTGTCTCCCGCGGCAAATAAACAAGGATAATCAGCGATATTATTAGTTTCCTGACTCTTCAACATAGTAGAGCCAAAGCCAGTGAAGTAAGGTAGAGGGAAATAAATCCAATGACAACAAAGGAAATAATCGCAATATCAGGAAAAAAGAAAAAAATAAGTTTCGTAGGGAAAAGAGCTTAATAAGTTTATGGGGAATTTTTAAGCTAAAAAATTAATAGAAAACTAGTTGAGAAAGGAGCTGAAGAAAAGAAGATTAATAACGGCTATAGCTTTATATATTGTTATTAAAAAATTAATATACTTAGTAACATCATTCCCCTTTACAATTAATAATTTACTTATGCATTTTATATTCAAAAATTGTTTGAATCTTAAGCAACTTTTCCACTTCTCTTTAAACATTCAAATTCCCTCGCAGTTCTTCTTAAAACTATCTTCATAATATCAGTTGCTACACACTCCCTATTTGCATACCAACTTAATCCCTTGAGAGTACTATAACTTCTCAAAATTTATCAACTTTTTAACAAGTCCGTGGGAAAAGTAAATAAATAAATGAAACCAGGACAACAAATCAGCAAACAAGAGAATACACCCCCACCTCGCACACCGTTCATCAAGTTATTCACACAATCACAGCTGATGGATACACCGAAACTCACCCCAAAACCTCTCCAAAAAACCCCTCTTAAAACCCCACCCTTAACCCACCTCCCTCTCACCCTCCAAAAGCTGGTCCCATTTGGCAGTGCCAGTGACTTATTTATGCAAATGGCCATAACAAATGAGGCGCATACACTCGACGCGTGCCTCGCTTCCCCCCAAAAACAAGGCATAGACGGAGAAGGGGGAAGGCATCATCGTGGGAAAATGGAGAAGGGGTCAGGTCTAACCGCACAGTGGAAACGATTAATTTGGTGCCCAGTTTAGCCTCGAAATGCTGTCCAAGCATCGCAAAACGTAGGCACCCGTAGGGGCTTGGGGTGCAACGCAACGCATGTCTCAATCGTGCAACATGGCAGCTCATCAGTGGCCGCCGGCGGCGGGGGATTACTGTACAGTGGTACGACGTC